GGGCACCATGTCACTTAATGTATGAGTTATACGTACAACCTGAGTTGTATACAAAATTGTTTACCAATAACGATTGTGAACAACTATAGAACGATTGAGAACGTTTTACTATTCAATTTATGCGATTGTGAAAAAAACGTAAGCAACATTGCCATATCATTTAATTTTGGGCTATCGAACATTTCAGCACGTTATGGAATTTTAGATTCAAAGCAATGAATTTGTATTAATTTTACAATGATGCGTGTGTTATTTTTTTTTCGTTATCATTTGAATAGTGAAAATGCTTCAATTGCCTATTGCAAGTTTTCGACTAATTCGATTTTGATTTTTGATGTAACTTTTAAAAAATTACAGTAGATATATTCAAATATTCAATAATGTCCACCGAATTTTCATATTGACATTACACCATCAAATTTTCAAAATATTTTGACTCTTTTTGAGTTATTTATAAGCATAAGAACATTTTGACTTTTTGTACTTTTTTATAAATAGATTTAATAAAAAAAAAGTGTAAACAAATTTGGTTCCTTAAATTTTACTTAGATAAATCTGATCATGATTAAAAGATGTCAAAGTTTTTTGTTAATTAATTTTAAAAATTGGTTTCTACTTATTCGAGTAGTTTTATATTGTTTAATTTATAAAATTATTATCTAAATAATTCTGAGTATTACTATTTACTATGATAGTTGTGTATGATTTTTTGGAGGCAAAATTTGCAAAATCGATGATTAGTTTATTCCAGTTTTATTATTTATTGATGAATTTAAATGATTTGATTAGAAAAATCTGATTATAATTATTATATTATGTAATAAAAATTAGCTTCAACTATATATTTGTTTTCATAATTTATATTTTTTATATTTAATTTATTATAATAAACAATTCACGAAATATTAAAAAACAATTATATACTCGTAGAATAAAAATAATATATGAAATTATTGCTGTTTTATTAATTATATTAATTATTGAAGTTAAAGTTTATTATTAATTATTTTTAAAATATTAGTTACTTATTTTATATACAGTGTATCACGAAGTTTTGACAGATTAAATAACTTGTGTTCTAACCAATATTTTTTAATTTTTTTTTTTATAAAATTAATAGATGCTTGTGCTACAAGTGTAATATACTTACTATTTTTATTTTTTTTTTTCGAGCAGAAAATAAGAATATTAAATTTGATTTAATTTTTTTTGAAAAAATTTAAAATAGCCAATTTATAATAACGTATTGATAAAAATAGTTTTTACGTTTATAGTATTTAATTTGTTTACAACTTATGAACGTTTAAATATTTGTAGTTACTTTATTTATAAAAACTTAGAACTTTAAAAATATATAAAAATATTACCAAGTGAACTGTAAACATACATAAAAGTTTTTTAGTAAATGCGTTTGATGATAAAAGCACTGCATTATATAAAAAAAAGTCGGAGACACGAAAAGTGGCATGTGATTGCCGCGATCCTAGCAATAAAATCGTTTAATGCATTCTCAAACCTCTAAAATCAATTGACTTGCTATTTAAAAATACATATTTCATACTACGAGCCCGAAGGACACCATTAGTTGAAGACCATTGCCTGTTAACAGGACGAGGGTTGGTATATAACGAAGGTCACATGCCAGTTTTCGTGTCCTCAACTTTTTTTTTCTATATTAGGTTTTATAAATACAACTAAATTCTATACAATTGTGTAACGCAAAGACGTAAACGATTATTGTCTTAGAGTAAAGCCAGTACTTTTATTAAAAAATTATGTACTGTAGTCGGTTAGTAATACGTAATATTATCTATTACTAAAATATTAAAATAATTATTAATTTATTATTTTAATATTATATAATAAGTTTTTAACGAAAATTATGAATATTATATGTAAGGCAATATTATAATTATAGTCGGGGACACGAAAACTGGCGTGTGACCTTTGTTGTACACCGATCCTCGCCCTGTCTGCAAACAATGGTTCTCAATTTGCGGCGTTCTTTTTATGCGTATTATAAAATGAGTATTTTTAAATGGCCAGTCAATTGATTTTAAAGTTTTAAGAATCCATTAGACGATTTTACCGTTAGGATCGCAGCTGTCATACGCCACTTTTCGTGTTCTCGACTATAGTGATTAGTGACTATACTAGAGCCATTCTAAGAACGCTACTGGGCGGCGCCTAAAATTCTTCCGATTTCGCGCATTCCCACCACTAAACCTTCCCGAACGCTGGCCGCCGCCACTGTCGCCGCCGTCGCTGCCATTATTATATAGCAAGTGGGGGAATTTACGGCAGCGAAAGATGATAGAGTGGGAGAAATTTGGACACGAATCTGTGGAGCTCGGTAATTTGGATGCGCGAACGAGTAGTGTTCTAAAAGTGGCTCTGGTAAATAATATTGAGGTTACAATTTACCCTTAGAAATATAGAATGTCAGTCTCCGTGCAGAATCGTTTTTCGAGTGTAAATATCGTAAATATGAAATTAATATTGAATAATGATTTATGATGGAATTGAAATGTTTGATTTTTTTGTTTATATTACCTATGTTGATAATTACTTTATGATTTTATCTGTTAATCAAAATAATTGAAAATTCAGTAAAAGATTTATCTATAAGTAATTTATTATTAATACTAATAAAATAAAAATTTAATATTGATCTTGGAAGAATAATTGTTTTTAATTTTTAAAATAAATTTTAAAAAAAACAAAAAGCATCTATATACACTACATGTAGATACACCGATACATGTATATACCTCATTTCTATTGAATACAGTTGACGGAAAAATCAAACAAGTTATTTTTATCATCAATACAATCGTTATACAACAGCCAATGGGCTAAATCTAATGTTACTACTAATATTATATATATAGATCACACGCCACCGCGATTCCGATAACGTTCGTATAATCGCTAATTTACGGTAACCAATCAACCCCCCCCCCCCCCCACATTCACACACCTTTTACATAAAACGCCCATGACGTGGTAACATTCTCGGAGTCACACAAATTAACAGAACGACCCTCAGCCATAAGACATATACATATTGTCAAAAATAGTAGGATTTCGTCAAAATTCATGAATATCACAAAAGTGATTTTCTCATTACATATTATGTACAATTTTAAAATTCAAAAGAAGATTATTGGCGAAAAAATCATAGGAGACCTGAAAGAACACCATAGCACAGTCCAAGATTAGGGTTCTATATTCGAAGGTACGTTTTTTTTGTTTTTTTTTTGTTTTTTTTTACCTTGAATATTGGCCCACTGTCTACTGCGGTGCCGCACCTGACTGCGACTTTAAGCAATCTCCCAAAGAATAGAATATCAACTTTTTATATATATATTAAACATTCTACCGAGACCGTAACTAAGTAGATTTTATGATTATTAATTCTAAATTTAACGATAATTCATATACCTACTAAACCGCTAGATGTCACTATATTTCAATGATTATGAATCGTAAAATTGTATTATTTATTAAATTCAAAATGGCTTTTATTCAGCCAATTTTTAATTTAGAACCATTGTTGACACAATAAAATTACCTTTAAAAATTTGGACTATAAAATATAATATAATAATATATATATATAACTGAAATGATAAAAATTATGAAATATTATGTATTTATAAATCACTAACTTGTAAAAAAAAATTCGAATTATTTTAATTTAATCCGGCCGAGAAATTTAGTGTTCCCTAAATTAGTGAATACATGGTATAACAGGAAAAGCTCTCGTACTCATTCCTGCATTATAGTGTAGTATTAACTATTAAGTAGTTATTCAAATGATGAGTTAAAGACAATCAAATTAAACATTACATTAGCTTCATATTACAATTATTAACGTTTAATTCTTTAAGTAAATGACCATTCATCTTAACTCATTTCATAAGGTTATTTTTAATTCATTACAATAAACAATACAGATAGCATTGGTAGCTAAAAAGATATATGAACATACAATAATACAAATGAAAATACCTAATATATAAATAATAAATATATACAAATATGAAATATTGATAACGTACAGAAAAATTTCAGATCAGCCAATAACTCGCGTAATAACATGGATAATAATAATTAGGGCTGAGGACTTCTAGTTTTTGCATATTTTTTTAGAAAAATCGTAGAAAAATTCTAGTGAATAACAAATGTGTTTCATAACACTATGAGATCAAATTAAAAATTTTATTTTGCATATTTTGTCATTATTGCATATAAATGCATATTTGAGTATATCAGAAAAATTAAGAACATATTTGGCAATTTTCGAAATAAGTTCTTAAATTAGCTTAGACAAAAAAGAACAAGGTGGTAAATTTTCCATTTCAAAATAATATTTTTAGTATCGGTTAGGTAATTTACTATCTGACCGATAAAATCGATAAAACCGAAACGCGTATAGGTTGTGAACTTCAGTTGTCCGTAATATTTCGTCGCGTATTCGTTTTATTGTGTACACTGCGTGAAAAATTTTTCGTCTAGTAATTATTTCGTCTCCTTCAAATTTTTTTAGTAATATTTATTTATTTTTATCAAATATGCCAAAGAAAAAGCAATCATTGGCTTCTCGTTTAAATAGTTATGTGTCGGAATTTAGTGAATGTAGTGGTACAGTTTTTACAACTGACGGCAAAATATTGTATTGTAAATTGTGCGATTCAAAAGTTGGAAGTGATAGAAAATTCAACGTAAAACAACACATTGACACAGATAAACATAAGGCAGCTATTAAACGAAAACAAAGTAAAAATAAATTTGATCTACAAAAAACTCAACAACAACTTTTAAGTAACACAAAAAAGTCTTCTTTTAATAAAGATTTATGTTATGCTTTGTTATCGGCTAACATTCCATTAAATAAATTAAATAATCATAATTTTAAGTCATTTTTGGAAAAATATACTTCGAAAGAAATTCCAAATCAAACTACACTTCGTAAAGGCTATGTGAATGACATTTATGAAGACACTTTAGTGAAAATTAGAAGTTTTATATTTGGTAAAAAAATCTGGGTTTCGATCGACGAGACGACAGATTCCGCAGGTCGTTACATCGCAAATGTCATTGTAGGAACGCTCGAACTTAATGGCCCTGGTCACGTGTTTTTATTAAACTGTGCAGAACTAGAGAAATCAAATCACATTACAATCGCTAAATTATTTGATAATTCTATGCATATATTATGGCCTGAAGGTGTACGACATGATGATATTTTATTATTTCTAAGCGACGCGGCACCATACATGGTTAAAGCGGGAAAATCGCTTAATATATTTTATACGAAAATGATTCACGTTACATGTATTGTTCATGCATTTCATCGAGTTGCTGAACAAATTAGAGAGCATTACTCAAAAGTTGATAAAATTATAGCTAACGTGAAGAAAGTATTTTGCAAGTCTCCATGTCGCATTAGTTGTTTTAAAGAAAAAGCACCACTCCTATCACTCCCCCCACAACCAATCATAACAAGATGGGGAACCTGGTTGAAAGCAGCTATTTATTATTGCGATAATTACGAATTAATATGAGATATTATTACATCGTTTGATGAAAAAGATTCTGTTAGTGTTGAAAACCCTCAAAAGTACTTAAGTGATCCAGACGTTGCTTCAAATTTGGTATACATTAAATCAAACTTTGGATTTTTGCCCGATGTAATCACTCGCCTTGAAGCAAAAAATATGCCTTTATCCGATGGAATTAAGATAATAGAAAATGCCTATTTAAAATTGTCTCAAACTACAGGTTCAGTGGGGAAATTAGTGCAGCGAAAACTAGACGATGTTTTAGCAAAAAATAATGGCTATAAAACATTAAATATAATTTCAAAAATATTGAATGGAGAAATTACTTCAATGGATGGCTTACCAGAAGACTTGAAAGCAAATGAATTGTTATTTTTTAAATATGCACCGCTAACTTCCGTAGATTTAGAACGATCTTTCTCAACATATAAAATATTGTTAGCAGATAACCGACATTCGTTTCAAATTGAAAATATAAGGAAATACCTTGTCGTTCAATGTAATAGTAAAGGTAGGTAATACAACATTTAGTTAACTTAATACGTATTCAAGATAAAAATTAATTTTACAAAATACCTTTTTATATTTCCAGATGAAGGAGATGAAAACGACGACGAAGAAATGTAATTTTTTAATACTTTTTAATAAACTAATCAAAATGTAATTTTTACTAATTATTTAAAATAAATATTATAATAACTAATAAGATAAAATAATAAAATAAAATAATTTTTTAGAGCATATTTTAAGTGCATAAGTGCATGCATATTATTAGATTTTTAAGCACTAGAAGTCCTCAGCCCTAATAATAATCCATTTAACAGATATATAATACCTAATAGGGGGTGGGCTCAAGAAACTTGGTACCTAAATTTCAGAAAAGTTCTCTCGATTGAACAGTAGACGTATAGTATCAGGCATTAAATAATTTTTAAAAAATATTATGAATGGGAGTTCAGTTCTCGTAAAAAAATTTGGCTCTTAGTCTTAGTGCCAACAGACATGAGGTCTATAAAATAAATAAAATATTCTGTGGTTTTACTAAATCACTTCAGTAATCTATAGTTGTAAATAAATATTAATATCAAATGATCAACATTTTTTCACCGTGTTTTCTTTATTTTATTTGGTCATACTGATTTAACCTGATTATAGCGATTTGTGATAATAGACGCCACATAAAATGTTTAGCTTTTAAAAGAAATTACTTGTATTCGTATTACAGTATTATTTTAAAGTTTAAACTTTTACAGTATTTTTATTTTTGATCTCACATCTTTAAACATTTTTATTTATAAATTACATATTTTGTATTACGTATTTTTTTTTTAAAATGAAAGATGAACAGATTGATAATAATGACCCAGAAAATTCTCGAATATTTGTATTATATGACAAAAATCACCCAATATCTGAAAATGAATTTAAAGAGATGTTTGGAAATTTTGGTGATGTAAAAAATATTTACATTGTAAAAGACCGCAACAGTGACAGTGTGAAAGGTAATATTTGGTATTTTTTATTTTAAATAGCAACTATTGTATAGTTTTAAATAGGTACTGGTAAAAATTGTATACATTTTATGACAATAGTATTATGTTATAAAATTATAATATGTTAGTTTAATTTCTATTCCTCTTAATTTAAATATATTTTATTTATTCTTTATACATTTTTAAGTTTATAAGTGAATTTAAGAACTTTTGTTTAATCATTATCCATTTAGTGAAAGCAATTGTAATGATTATTTTATTTTAGGAGTAGCATACATAAAGTATTCAAAAGCATCAGAGGCTTTTAAAGCTATTGAAGCAATGAATGGACATAGAATAGAATCATCAAATCGTCGTATGAAAGTCTTAATGGCCACTAGGTATTTATACTTACCTAATATTAGTGTACCTAGTTGTTAATAAATCAGCTTATTTTTCAGGTTGGTTATTTTTTATCAAATTTAGGATAATTTTTAACTAGAATATTATAAGTTATGTTTAATTTTAATTAGTATCTACCTAATAGATTTAGATAATATACTAGATTTAATGCAATATTTAACATTTTTATTGTTATTTTTCAATAGTCCTGGTCATATAAGAAGCAATTCAGAAATGGAATACAATAGACTATTTGTATTTGTACCAAAAACTGATAAGGAATCAGATTTAGAAAATATTTTTAGCCAATATGGAGAAATATCTAAAGTTCATATAGTTACAAATAAGGATACCGGAGAATCTAAAGGAATAGCTTTTATAACTTATTCAAAGTAGGAACTATTATTAATTAAAAACAAAATACTTAATATCAAAACTAAGAAAATAGAATGTAATTAGTTTGATTTTTTTTAGGCCTTCGTCAGCTGCTTTAGCTATTGAAGAATGTGGACCAAATTATAAAGCTGTTTTTGCTAAACCCAAACATGATGATGGACCATCTGCATATCCTCCATCTTATCCTAGACATATTGATTCTAAAAGTAAATCAATTTAAATATCTAGTATATTACCATCATTATGCTATCCAAGTTTGTAATTAATTAAATTAATATTTATAGAGTAAACATATAAGGGTCATTTGTGTTATTATTTTGGTTCCATTAACTTTAAATAAGTTAAATAAGTACTCAGTGTTGGTAAAAAAAAAAAAAAAAATGGTTTAATAATTAAAGTTTATAAAGATAATACTTAAAGGTTAAGATGATATATTATTGATGTTAAAAAAAAATTGTGAATTAAAAAAAATTAGTAAGTGGTATTAAACTTGCTCAACAATTAAAAATATAATCTTTGTCTATAATTTTGTTTAGTTTTATTTTTATTAAATATAGATTATAAAAATAGTTATATTGATCAATTAAATATTGAAAAATTCAATGAATATAAATATTTATTGAAATATAAGACTTATTAATTATAGATATAATCCTTATAAACTTTAATCAATAATCATTTTCAATTATATTTTTTGTCTAATATTGTATAATCCTGTCTTATTTTAAAGCTTTAAAATTTTTTATTTGTGTCATAGTTTTAAGATAAAATTAACAGAATAGTTTTTAGGGAAATGATCAAAAATAATCTGCCTATGCAAATAATAAACTCATTATTTGTTAAACTTAATTATACATTTAGGCCTATCAATTTTTATATTGTCAGAATAAATTTTCTAGCTTTTAGAACATTTACAATGATTTAAAACATATTTAGTTTTATATTTCTTGATATTCTAGTTTGATAATTTGACAAACTATTAAAACATAAACCTATTCTATTTATTTTAGTATAAATAACTGAAAATTGATTTTTTATTATAGATCCAACTAGCAGTTACTCACTACTTGCTCCTCCATCTCATCAACATCGAGATGAACCTAGTGTATTAACTGCTTATACTTCATCAATTGTCTCGTATAATGAAGTTTATAAAATTATGAATATTGCTCCTGAATTGGAATTAGTTAAAGAATTATCAAGACAGGTAATATACACATATATTTACTTATAAATAAATGTAAAGAATATTATGTATTCATTGGTATTTATTTAGTATGCTATTTACAAATAAATAGCTAAACTTTACATAATAGTAAATTAAATTGGTGTATGTCTTTATTGATTTTACTAAATTACTAAAAAAATTTTTATTTACAATTTAATTGTAATTATACAAATTGTATTTTGAATTTTATAGTATAATATACTTTTAATAACTTTAAATACTTGATGACACAATTTTCTTTTTGTTTTTCATTTCTTGAACATTGAATTATTAAAAAAGTGTTAAATTAAAAATAATTCTTCTAAAATATCATATTATAACATTACAAATCAATAATTAGTTTTTGAAAGATACAGCAGTATAATATTACAGAAAAACTTATTTTAAAATTTGTTAATTATTATTGTAGCGGTTGAATTGTGTATTATTATTTATTATTTATGTCATAAATCCTGATGCTTATTAAACAATTTAATTGATAGTCATTAAAAATACCAAATGCTTGTATATATTTCATAAATTGTATATCAAACTAAATTTTTCATTTATTTTTAAACTAGCAAATGTACGATAAGAAGATATTTCAAGTTATTTATAATAGTATTGCAGCAGCTGAACATGCTGTAAATCGAATTAATGGATTTGAATACCCGCCTGGTCATCCAATAATACTGGAATTCAGTAGTACTCCTATGTAAGATTATTTATTATAAAATTATAATATTAACTAATTAATGATATAATTATAGATCTATCTCATCAGCGGTGGATCCAATAGCAAGTAAAATTTCAAAAGATATTGAAGTACTTTCTAGTACTGTCAACAAAGCATTAGCCGTGATTAAGAATGCTAGTATAACTTCTGGTAAAAAAATATAATTAATATTTATTTATAAATATTAATAATTTTAAAAATTTTATTTAGCTTCCTTATGCTTAGCGGATGAGTTTAGTTCACCATTAGCACCAAAAAGAGGAAATGAAAAAGTTCTTTTGCCATCATCAGATAATTCATTCAGGTTGATAATTTTAATCTAATATTTTTATCATTAAACAATTTGTCTAAAAAATGTTAATTATACCAATTTTTATTATTTTGTTTGTATTTATTTTTTATAGATTATTTTTTGTGTGCAAACCAATTATCCCTCCAATGCGGTTATTAGAAGATACTTTTAAAATGTTTAAAGGGTTTAGAAATATTAATGTTATTGATGGCAAGAATTACGGTTATGTAACTTATGATAATCTGGAAAGTGCTACTCGAGCTATTAATGTAATATTGTTAAATCTTAGCAACATTGATGTTTTAAAATTTTGTTTTCATATTATAATTAAATATTTTTAGTGTTTAAATGATCACAAAGTATACAACAGTCGTTTAAAAGTAATGGAAGCTGAACCTAGAGAACCAAATCGTAAACGCATGAAACCTGATACAATGTGAAAATAAGTAGTAAGTACATGAAATTAAGTTAATTAATTGAAAAGTAATATAAAGTCTTGTAAATTTATTTTTAAACTAAAAAAAAATGGGCACATATATATTTTTCAACATAATTTACTATTTTACACATAATTAACTAAAATACTAGAACAACAGATATAATGGCCTTATGCCATTTTCAATCATAAAATACTGATTTTGAATATTCAATTAATGCCTAAGTATACTTATTAAAATTCAAAAGTATTATTAATTTTAAAGATTGGAAATACAATATTTTTCTTAAAAACATTTAATAGCCTCAATTAAAAATACTAGATCGGTACTTAATTGAATTAATATACTATTAAATAATATGCCATTATCTGTATACTTAAAGGGAATTTTATCATCAAGGTTAAATATATTTGTTAAAATGTAGAGCATGTTCTAACATTTTTTTAAATTATGTCATTTACTGGGTATATTTTTTTAATTTAAGATGAAAGTAAAATTTTCACCTATTATTTATTACCTACTTATTAGTTTACCTTGAAATATTAATTAAAATAAGTTTGAATGTTTGATTATTCTTATTAGTTTAAAAAAAAAAATTATTAAAGTTATCTAACAATTCTAATTATAAGATCTATTTCAAGATTTTATTGGTTAAATTTTATAGTTTATCATTGCTTTCAAGTTTATTGAAGTAGTAAATTGCTATTCTGTGCAGTAGTGAGCATAATAAAATAAGTACCACCTAATCTCCAAATTCTGTTTGAACTTAATAATGAATGGCTCGAACTGGCTTTATAAATTTTAAGTAAGATTCATAACCTATGCATATATTTATAATTGTTCATCAATTTATCTATAAATTTATGATTCCTGATAATAATGCAAGTTAAATAAAAATTATACTAACTATATATTAATTAAAATTACACTAGTTCTAAAAAAAAATATGTATTTCATACAATATATATTTGTTTATAAATTATCTGTATCAATTCTTTAAATAACTTTAAATACGAGTACATATACTTATTCTTAATATATGTTTTATACAATAAACTATTAATATAGTTAGAATAAAGTATAAACCATACATATTATATTACACATAAATCTAAGTAATTTTAGTTAGATTGCGTACAAATTTATACATAACATAAATTTATTACCTAGTTGATTATTTCTTTTAAATTTACAAAGATTATCTTTAGTGTCTTATGACTGATATTTCTGATATGAATTTTCTCTATTTCTGTCTTAATTTTTATAGTATTAAAGTTTATTTGAATATGAATTTCTAAAATTTATATTTTTTTAAATTTAATTTAAATACTAAAAAATAATATAAGTTTTAACTAACTGTGTGTTATTAATATACTTAACTAATAATGATATACATCACTGCTGTAACTGTATAACTGTATTTTCAAAACTCTTTTTAGTCAGATTACAATTTGTTTCATTTATGATTTCAGGACAGTAAATAGCACAACAAAAACAAACAATTTATTAAACCCACTAAAACGACAACAGAAACTTGAGTTTGTCTATAATTACGAGACAAATATCACAAAATCAACCAATTTCATGAAACACTACAAGATATTCAACGACTAACATATTGTCAACACAAAAGACACTTTTTAAACTAACTAACATATTTTACTGTGTTATTTATTCAGAAAGTTTTTAAAGCTGAGAACTTATATTTATATAGTCATAAGCTATTAAAATTACTGGATATATTTTAAGAAATTAATTATAATGACAAGAAATTAAAACTCCTAAGATATATCTGGGTAAAGTCAGAGTATAATTAATTCATATGCATGATGATATATTTATTAGATAATTATTTACTATTTTTAATAATTAACATAAACTATTTTGTACTATAACACAAATATCAAGTACACACAACAAGACTAACATCTTTGAAACATTGACATTTACCAGTTATGTATTGCTTTTAAAAATATTGGATTTTATATATTTAACTAGCTATTTTATAGTATTTTTTTCAGTACAAACCAAAAAAGTATTTACATCTTTCCAGATATATAATTTGTATTTTTTAATTTAACTCTAAGGTGAAAGTATTAACAACTTAGTACCAATTAAATACTTTAATTTTCAGTATTTTTAAGTTATTAGTCATTTTTTTTTTTTTTTTTATGTTTTTAATTTGAGAAATTTTTTACTAACATTCCATTAATGTATTTGTACTATTAAATATTTAATGATACTTATAAATATTATGGAATAGGTTCAACAAAATTTTATGAAAATATTGTGATATTGGTTTTATTATTTAAATTATTTTTTTCATATTTTAAAATATTATTGATATATATAGAATTATTTAAACGTTAGAGTAGGATAGTATTCTACATTTTATTAGAGGATTTAGTGATATAAATTATTTATTTCAATACATTTTTCTATTTTAATTAAGATCTTAGTAGTTTAAATATTCTGTATAAATAAAGATACAGTGTTTATTTGAAATTAGTAAATGTTAATTTTAATTTTTGCGTTATTTGTGCATCATTTTAGTTAGTATTTTAAGCAAAATTACATGTGAAAAGTTGAGATTTATTTAATTATAATTTGACCAATAGATAATATAGATATATAATATTTATAACTTTAAAATATTTTTTTAAAACTAATAGTTTTCTATCTAGTATGTTTTTAAACAGCTTTTGTATTGTGTTTTGCATACTTATATATACTTTAATATTATCATATTATCTTGAACCATCGTATATGTAGAATATATATTTTTTTAACTAAAAGTATTGTTGGTATTTATATACATATTTATTATTCTAACACACACATATATATATGTATATAACTAAGCAAGATTTAATATTTATGTTTATTTTTGAGTCATTGATCTTTTGTTAAAAACTATTTGGCTGCTCTATATTTTGGATTTATTATGTACTTGCAGGGTGCAGACATTACATTTCATAGGTATAACTAAATATTTAATTTGGGAGTTCATTGGATTTGTTATGTCTTATTAAACTACTTTATTAATCTCCCCTTTCAACTGAAAACTAAAAACTAAATAAACTATGTTATAAATTATCATTATTTCTTAAATTATTAAAAAAATACTTTTTCTTATGTAAGACTTTTGTTTGTATCATTTATCATCACTTTTTTTTGAAAAATACTTTGAAGTGTTGATAATTTTTTTTTTTAATTACCAATCTGGCATAATATAGTTTTCAGTGAATTTTGCATATCGTTAAGAAACACTATAGAAATTTTATTTTTGGCACAGTATTTGGACAAAACAATAGTTTTTTGTAAATATAAAAATATACAGGTGTATAAAACACATGTATACCTATGTTAATAAAAATACCATCCTATTTATTCAAACAAAACTAGGTATAAAACATAATTTATTGAATTTTTCATTCATTTATTTACGAATTGAAACCAAAAATAATCAATGTATTTTGTAAATATACAAATAAACACATATTAAGTTAACAGATTTTAAATCTTGATTTTATGAATCTAATTTTATTAGGCTATATTTTAAAATCATTATGATTGATTAAGTCGTAAATAGAAAGAAAACATATATAATATGTTATATGTAGATATCCGATAGGTACATAGATATTAATTAAAATAATATAGCGATCTGAGGACATTAATTTTGGGTAATTTCTTATTCTTATTAAAAATTAAATTTTTTAATTTGAATGTATAAATTTTGTTTATTTGGTTTCAAACTTTTTTTATAATAACCAAACACAAATATTCTATTTTAACTGATGTAATTGGTTCAATAGTGCATATTAGTATCCGAATACGATGGTTCTAAATGTTTAAAAATTTGTTTACCAATCATCATGTTATTTGATTGTCTGAAAATCAATAAGTCTTAAGATTTTATTCTATCACAATTCACAGTATGAATTTTGTTTTATGATAAATATATCTTAGCGGCTACACTCTTTATTGAATACTAAGGCGGATCCAGCCCGTGATATCCGGGGGGGAGGGGGCGAATATTAAAAATAACTTATATACATGTAAGTTTTACTATATAATGGAAAAATTAAAAAAAGGCTATTTTTTCCTAACTAAAACAGCTTATAGGGGGGGGGGGGGTAGCTCCTTCGCTCCTCTCCCTCACTGAATCCACCACTAATTGAATTTGATCCATTTATACAAGTTTTAATTTTTCTATTGAGTATTCATCAATGAACGTATGCTCAAGTACCTACGTACTATACTGATCATAAATATAACTTATTTTCTAATGTAATTATTAAAGTATGTATTTTATTATGTCTAAAATTCATTGAAACAAAAAAAAAAAATAGTATCTCATAATATTTTGATCTTTGAAAATCTATCAACTACCATAGACATTTTTGGGTTAATGTTTTTTGAAAAAATTTCCTGTATTTTCGATAAGTGCTCACAATAATATTAGGACACTTAATCGCTTACAAGTTACAAACAACTAAATACCAAAATTCCTAAAATCCTATGCTTTAAAATATTTACAAGTTGAAGAAAAATGTAAAAGTAATAAATTGGTGTAACTTTAATGAGAGTGATTTTGAATCGTGAACATTATTTATTACCTATACTTTAAATACCTATTTTATATTCTAGGTACACAATTGTGTATAAATCCGTTTCTTAGACACGTCAGAAGCACCTGAGCTGTAATGATAACTAATAATGACAAAGCTGAACAAAAGAAGTTATGATGTTTTAATCATAGAACTATAATGCTTGGCTCATAAATACTTAAGTAGATATTGATAAGTTATTACCACATTAATGTACCTATAGTGATCTATTTAAGTAAGAGTGTAAGACCTCATTATCTCAAAGATTTTTAAAATTATTGAAAATATTTGTGTTAGATAGTTTTAAGTGATTTTTCTGAGAAAAATTTATTTTTTATCATTTAAATTTTTATAATTTTTTTTTTTTTTTTTTTGATGATAGCCTATACTTTTTGTAATATTTCAATGTATAAAAATTGAATTTTGGACGAGTAGATTATGGTTTATGAGTATCCAGTACAGTGTACCTCTACTCTTATGGAAGTATAGGTTCCCACAAAAATTTTAGTTCACTATTTCGCTCATTTAAACCTCAAATACCTACTATTAAAATTATTAATTAATAATAAACTGTCACACATTTGATTTTTATAAACTAAAATTCTTTGAATAATATCCTACTTCGGAATATGAAATCAAAATTGTATTTTGTTTTTTTTTTCAGGATGAAAAGCTTAAAAAAATATTGACTATACAAATATATTTTTTTCTAGAAATGTTGTTACGTAACGATTTATAATTATGTAAGAGAAATATTTTTAAAAATACGTTACCTAGTGTTTTCTGAAATAATGAGTGTCTTACGTTAAATAGATCACCTGTGTAATATATAATATAGGCATTTATATATGTATATGCGCTCTATCTCTAATAATATAATAATCTACAGTAGCGGCGTAATAGGTGGTGGTAAGGGGATGTGGAGTGTGCTTGGGTACTAGTATTTTTTTTACGCCATATTCGTCAGACTATGGTTATAGTAATACTGCGCTGTTGCGATGGATGTAGGTTATACAGAGCCGTATGAAATATGCTCCATTTGATGCATATAAAAAAATCAAGAACTGAAAATCGTTGATTTGTTATCAGTTATTTACTTATATATGACGATTTTATTCACTATCAGACCAACATAATAAGCTATTATGCTATAACACGTTCCTGGGTACCATAGTCCTTACTTTTTAAATTATAAAAAATATAGTAGCACTCGCGTATGTACGTCGTACATTGTCATCCTCGGTCCATTACATCCAATAATATTTTCATGCCAGCAGTTTTAATGCAAAAAATATATTTAATGTAATAAATTATATATATGAAATCTAAGAAATATGTTATCTTGTAGCTCTATTTTATATTATTATCATTAAGAAGATTGATTATTACAACGAAGTCTGTAACTCGCCCCTTCTCACAGTAATATTTAAATATAGAATTAAAAACTCACCCTACAATGAAAATCTTGCAGAATACGCGCCTGCGTACAACTACAGTAGTTGTTGTCACGGTTGCGGTGTAAATCTTTAAAAGACAGGACTCCAGGAGTTAATGCCGGACACTCAATATATGTACTAAAAATGTATAGATGTATAGTAAATTTCAGTTATATTATCCAAACGCGTGAGTGTAAGTCTATTTTTAATTATGTATTTATTAAATTTTGTATAAAATAGTATCTATTAAACAAAAGGGACTGTATTCTAAGATCAATATTAAATTTATGATTTTATTTATAAAAATATCGGTATAATATGAGCAAACATTTTCTCTTAGAAATTTAAAGTTCTAATTTCAACAAAATTAGATATTTAAATAATAAAAAAAAAAAGATTGAAGTTATGATATTTTAATCCTATAAATATTAATAATTGGGACTTTTTACCATTTTGTATTTACATATTATATGTGTATAGTTATTTTAAATAGGTATGTACAATATAAATTTGTTAAAATATTGAGATTAACTTTAACCTATTAACATAGTTCGAGTATATGTCAGTTATAACTTATAAAGTATAATAAAAATAATATTTCTGGTATATAATATTATAAAATATATATGATGTTTTGCAAAAATTACTCCAACCACTTTTTAACCCATATTATAGTAATAAAATAATGTAAATTAATTCTAAAAAATCTTTAGAAATAAAGACTAACTACCCACCGAATTCTTTCAAAATGGTTTTCCATGTGTAATAATTTATCATTAAACTAAAATTATTCACACATCAATTACATTAATTACATTGACCTATTCAATGACGACCTTAACATTGTACAGAAGAGCAACTTTTCTTGGTTTTATAAACGTTTTCGGACGATTCTGTTGACATTTTGAAAGACTGTATTTCTGCAGAACTC